GTTACAAATCTTTGATCTTTACTGGATATATATAGTATAAAGTTATACAGAGAGGTAACACTGTAAGAGAGAGACAGTTAACAATTCAGTAGAATATTTGAGAAACACCAAATTTTAATAACTTTACTCCTTCGTGTAATAAAATAGCATCGATAGGCTTCCGGCATGACCTAAAACTACAGGTTCAGTTAGGAAACGTTTATTAGGCTAGTCTGGAGTAGTAAAAGAAATATATTACGTGTAAACTGTACAAAAATTACGAAACAAACTTTACAAACTAATACCTAACCTCACAACAGAACATCTGTACCTTCATCGTTTGATTAAAATATTGGCTAAAGCAAGCATATAAAATACCAAACACATTACTCAACGATTCTGATCTCGTGTATTATCGAATGCACATACTTATACACATATAACAAAATGTACAATTTGTACTGTACTTACTTCTGAGAGAAATAAATCCATCACTCTTGAAGCTAACTGCAGAGGAAGAGCAGCTGTGAAGAGTGTTAAGAACCAGGATGATGCATACATTGATGTGTGAAAACTTTGTGACTGAAAGTGAATATGTAACTCAGGAATCAGTTCCTGAAAAAACAAATCAATCTAGTGACTGAGAGTGAATATGTAACTCAGAAATAAGTTCCTGAAAAAACAAATCAATGTAGTGACTGAGAGTGAATATGTAACTCAGGAATAAGTTCCTGAAAAAACAAATCAATCTAGTGACTGAGAGTAAATATGTAACTCAGGAATCAGTTCATGAAAAAACAAATCAATGTAGTGACTGAGAGTGAATACGTAACTCAGGAATAAGTTCCTGAAAAAAACAAATCAATGTAGTGACTGAGAGTGAATATGTAACTCAAAAAAGTCTGTTCCTGCAGGGGAAAAAAAATTTACAACTGAAAGTGTATATGTAAAAATGAAAATTCAAGGGTGTTATGCTCTAAAACAAACAAAGCTCAGTTCTATAAAATTAATCAAAGTCTTAATACGAATTACTCGCATTATTTTCTGCCACTACAAATCAGTGAAATTAGTTCAGTATATCTATTGAAAACTACATCTTTTAAATATTTCATAAAACAAAACCTAACTGATAAAGATATGATTATTCATAAATTAAATTAAATTTTAAACCAACATTTACTTCTACATGTATGTTTAAGAGAAACATAAAAAGGTAACAAAAGGTAAAAAAGAACAAATAAAAGTCAGATGTTATTAACAGCTACTTAAATGGTCAAGTTTTACTTTTCAGAAATGTACTACAGCTTACTTAAGAATTTCACACACAACAAACTAGATAAACACCTACCTGAACAATAGATTATTTCACACATACAACAAACTAGACAAATACCTACCTGAACAATAGATTATTTCACACACACAACAAACTAGATAAACACCTACCTGAACAATAGATTATTTCACACAACAAACTAGATAAAC